CGACCTAGTTCACGTTCTTCAGCTTCAAGTCCGATGACCTACACTTTCAAGTCCCCGGCTAACACTAGGATGTTGGTATGGCGCTTTTTACGTAGAAGGTCGGCCAGTTGACCATAAAACTCGTACTTAACTGAGTCCCGGCAGGAATCTGTGGGAACGTACGCTGCGATAATTAAAAGACGGCGCCTACTGACTTCGCGACTAGACTGTCGTACTGAGATTCTAAGTTGGGTCGCGCATAGTCGACTGTTGACAGGGACCTAGTCTAGTGGCGCAGCCACAGCACGTGTGCTCAAAGCAATCCCCAAGCCAACATAGCTAGCGGCATCAGTGGTTGAGTTTCCAGATAGGCGCAAAGGGGAATTTGGCGACGGTGAAACCAGTCGCAGTGTGGTGCTATAGTTCTTTAATCGGGTCTCGCTGAGACAGCAGACATCAATGGCCGTATTTGCTAGAGTCCAAGCAATTGCTGCCTGTGATCCAATCTGCATCAGCGTCCGAACATTGCAAGTTTCCATATTAAGTTGAGAACGGGAGGCTAGAAATGGCTAATCAACACGACTTGGCGCACCTTCGGACTTAGTCCCCTGATCCGTATGGTGAGAATGATTGCCCAACTTGGCACGGTATTGGGAACTCGAAAACGGAGGCAGAATCCAACAGGGGGGGTTAAACAAACGTGGAAAAAAGTGATTAAACGGTGGTGCGGTCAAACGTGGTTTGTTCGGTTCAACCGACAACACCTCGGTCGAGGAAAGAAGTTTTAGAGAGTGAGAGCAGATAGAGCTTTAGCGGAGAGAACGAACGAAGAAGTGTTGGGTCATAGATCAATAGGCTGTGTGGGCGTGGTGCTTCCCGGTTGCCCAAACCGAGGAAAAGGGTTGATTTAGGCGACCCCACCTAGGGCCTTGGGTCAAGAGAGACCTAACCCGCAAGGCAGCGGGGCGATTAACGTACACCGCGAACCGTTGGGAGCTGACCATCTAGGTGAAAATAAAACAGCATTCGAGTAGTTGCAAACTATTGAGAGCGCCCAAGAAACCGGAGTGGAGCAGCAATCAGGCCAGGATTCTCTAGACTACTGAACTCGCCGCGAAGCACAAAGGCTGTTGACAGCCGGGTGCATCATACGCCTTCATAAATGCCGGTCGTCATTGAGTGTTCATGCACTATCCCTTAAGTACTCACTTCTGTGAATATAAGTGAGTGGTCAGTGACCCTATAGCCGGTCACGTTGGCTTTGACACAACGTCTTGCGAGTGCTTATGGTATTTAATGAGGAATAAATTGACCAGCCCAGTACCCCGCACGCTCTGGGACACTGCCGCTGATTGTTCGCTACTGCTTATTCATCTCACCTGTGAACAGCCGCGACTTATTCACAGTTATTTTGGCAAGAAATGCGTTTTCCGATCCGCAATCTGGGGACACGCCCGGTGGCGTACCGCTCCGCCAAATCAACCAAACGTTGGTTTACTACGGAATTGGTGAGATAAGATTGTCTGTGTCAAAAACCAAGTTAGAGATTACAAATGATCCGCAGAGTTTCAAAATATTGCGTCCGTTTCTGTGCAATTATTGCCCTCATTTCTTTCGAGAAATGATGAAGGATTACAATACGTGGCCAGTTGGTAGGACCCGATGGTCTATCTTCCTTGTATTTTTGTGTGTTGATGGATATTACATGTTGCCCGCTCGAAAACGCTGCACGCTACAACCGATTTTATACCTACTTGCCCTCATCAGGCAGTGGTAACCAGACTGCAACGTGGCCCCGGGACCTTTGACATTTCCGCCAAAACCTCTACCCCTAAAATTGTGAGTCGAAGCGGGTAACACTTGTCGTTTGTTTCACATAAGTGCGCAGTGACTGACTTGACCAAATTCACATCCAAGTGAACCACGCTCCGGATTGAGTTTTCTTACCGCTTCCCATTCATAAAACGATTACTCCATATGCAACCCAACATACTTATTAGCCACTCTGAGAAGTGTGGTTCACCGCAACTCGGTGATTTAGTATTACAGGCTTCGTCTGATATGTCAGTGGTCCTGGGTTTGAATTAGAGTCCTGTTACTTTTAACTGATGGCTGCACATGGGTACAAAGCTGGTGGTGTAGTGAAGCTAATAATCTCCCAATCGATGTTGTTCATGCAAGGATCGATTTCTGTGTTTGTGTTTCGTTAATAACGCCAGAAGACATTTTGACCAACTCTAAAACCAAATAGTGTAGTGATCGCTGTTTCATAGATTTTTGTTACTGCTGTGGAAGCTTGGATTCGAGTACGTTAGGTTTCAACTTCTTATAAACCATCTTATGGATGAAAGATGAGTTAACACCGTGTATTTGGAGAGTAGGGTAATTGTTGTGGCCGGTAATATTTTATGTCCAGGTACTCTGCTCAGGATTTGTAATTACTTGATTTTTTCGGAACCAAGTGCAGCGATGCTGCCGACTCAATTTTGGATGTGTGGATAATTTCGAGTTCAGACATATGCAGCAGCTCCACCTAAGGCCTGTGGGAGCAGGCCGAGACAAGAGGGCACTTGGTGCTGATGTAGTGCGGGTCGTTCTACTTCAGTAGGACTAGAATTTCCCAATGCAGATGAGTTTTTGACAAGGTGGTGAAGCAACTACAAAGCTTTATATCCCATTGTGAGGAATTCGTAAGAGCATAAAAGCGACAATATGTTTCGTTGGCTTACTTCACTAAGAAACCTGTGAGCATCTACTGGCTTCCGCATGTTTGTAGCAACCGGAAATAGGATGTTTAAAGAAACCCTAATCCTTGGTAAGCGAACTTCACGACATGTACTGTAAAACACAGTGAAAATTTCTGTGAAGTGCTGGGTTAGGTTTGAGCTACTGCTGGCCAAAATTGAATGTTGGTGTGTCACTGACAACGATCAGGCTCGCAGACCCAGGGTGGTCGCCTCAGTACGCCCAGAAGCTTACCTATTTTCTCGGTGGAGCAACTGCATGGTTTTTGGCACAACGGGCCTTGTTTGTCGAAAGTAAATGACAGTAACATCAGCGCCAGTTATCTGTAGACTTTGAGCGACGGGGTGATGCGCAGCATCGGCTGCGGTATTCAGGATCTAGAATAATTCGCTAGAGGTGCATGTAGGCGTCGCCACCCAGTTGTCAAAGAACCCACTGCCGAGAGTTCGTCAGGCCCGGATGACCCTAACTCAGTAACTGTAGCTAGTTTGCGGTTGGCGTAGTTCAAGGACAAGTGCTGCCAGCTCAAGTAATCCCGCACGTGGTAGGGAGTTTGAGGTTGAGAGGTTGGCGAGCACGGTCTCTGGTAGACGTTGAATCTACAGGTCTCAGTGAGACGCGACATACATGCAAGAAAGTCCAAGAAGCTGCTGCGTTCCCCGCAGCAAAGTGAAGGACGGCTTATCGCCTTGCAGGTCTCTGAACATGTGCTTCAGGTGAGTTTTCCTGATGGCGTAACCCGATATATAACTGTTCGCTTGAAGACGAAAAAATTTAATACTGGTGATTATTCTGTGGTTCCCTATATAGCATTCAGCAAGAACCAAGCTTTAGATTGTACCATCCTAGACGCATGAGTGTCTGGAATCTACATGCAAAAGTGCATAGTTTTGCCCAACTCCAAATCACCAACAAACGAAATGCCGACATCCCGACCATATTCACATACCACATTCCACAACTTACAAGGCTCAGTAGCATCCTATATATCTGGCATTTAAAAAAAGGGATCTGCTGATTAATTTAGATGTGAAATATTAAAATATTAAAATATTTTTATGTTGGAACAATGGCCTACTATCTTTGTCTTGGAACTCATCTGAGGTAGTGGTCACATAGCTGTTCTTTGCTCATTACACCTACAACATTCAGACTTCTTCGCAGAGCAAGTAGGTAGCGTCCGCCATGTCCCGTATATTTTTGGGCGGATAACTGCATCAGAGTGGCTTCTATTGTTTCCGAATCGCGAAGTTGCTGGTCATAGTAAACAGGTAAAAAGTATCTTTAAGTCGATCATCGTTATTAACTGTCATATTTCAGGCTGTGTATGATATAACAAGGTGTGTTGCCAGTTTATCGTTTGAAATCCGAGATAGCAGCCATGTTCGGAGGTATGTACGTGTCGTGGCCCAACTCACTTAAGGGACCATATTAGTCGTAAGTTGTCGCTCTGAAAGCTTACTTAACCGTGGCGTCACAATGGCCTGGTCTGCTGCGTGCGCGGTGCATAAGTGGGCAAAAATACGCCCTATTCATCTGGAGTTGGTTAAGCGCTTCTACCTTATAATTATGAAGATTTGAGCTGCGAATCGCAAAAAAATGAATTCCGCAAGCCAATCTACAACTAGCCGGCAGTCTCGGGTGTTAATGCATTGAGTTACACACATAAGACGCTTCGTGTATGTGACACTGCGGGCTGGTCGCCTTTGTTGTTTTGAAGTCTAGTATTTGACTGAGCCAAATAACAGTGGACTTCATTAGTTTTCCATACACTGCAGTAATAAATAACCACTTTTTGCAAAAAATTGCTTTTAATTTTCTGTACAGACACTTGTAGTAAAATGCTTGCTTTTTAGAGTCTGGACATCACTTGACAAATTAACCTTTGAACAAACTACTCGGATAGGTCTTCTGTTTCCTTGGCTTCGTGCAACAGGAAAGGAGGGCTTGGCAACACTGGTTTGCAGACACGAAGCACTAGCAAACACGCACTCTCATGCGAAGTATAAATCACTTTTGTGCTGGGGGCACACTGTCTGGGAAAAAGGAAATAATTCAAGCATTCAGCAGTCGGTAATCTTTCTTAACCGATTCTGTTTGAGGGTTAAGGCGCGGGAATCCTTTTCAGCACCTGGTCGACATTAGGTTTGAGCGTACGACGTATATTTTTCAAACGTTATGTACTACCAACGCAAACACAGACAACGATGAGAATGGAATGCGGAATTGGGTAACTGATTACTCTGATGTTTGCGTTGCGATCGATAGAAACCTACATTGCCTGCGTCCGACTACACCATTGTTCAATGACAACCAAAGATTAGTCAGTGCAACAATTTTATTACAACATTTCATCTGGACGCTCTAAGTGTTTGTAGCCCGTCATTACTGTCATCTTATCGCAAAGTGGATGGAATGCCATCATCTGTTATGCCCTCAGGGGGACAAGATAAAAAGGAGAAAACTCCTCTTACGTCCTACGCACCGCAGAAAGATAGCATAACAAAGTTGCCAAATGGGTAAAACCTCAGTATCTTAGTAATTACTAGTTCATTCTTCCCGCCGCTCTGTGGCAAATATTTTCTTTATATAGCTTACGAGCTCTATTGGACCCATTCATTTGAGTGAGCCGATGTTTCAGATCAACACCGGTACCCAGTCACTTTTAGTGCAATTCCATCTCATCTTATTTAACTCATACTGTCATTTACTCTTGCATTATCTATACTATGCTATGAAATTTTCAAGGAAACATGGAGTTACTCTGGTTTATCACATACTAACCTTTATATGTTTTTAAGTTCACATTATTCTATTCACGAATTCACCACTGTTAAATGACAGGCGCTTTTTCCTAACACGACATTCTACTTGTTTGTTCGCACTCTTCAAATCGAGGTAGCAGATTTGGCGCTCGAAAGCAGGAAGCGGAGATTTCTGTTAGACACCTCAACAATTGCACCAAAGATATTCGTGGGCACTGCTTGTTTAAACATTGACATCGGGTTGTCACAAATGTATATTCTGGAAATTTTCTCAGCATAGTTTTAGCTGCGTACGACAGAATCTACATGCGTGCGTTTTGTTACCCATGCGTCAACTAACCCGGGGTTTTAAAACAGCTTGGCCCAGGACTTTGTGTTCAGAAGACCGCATCTGTGATCATGGCCATGCGATGGCAGCAGAGTAGGTATATTGCACACTTTGGTTAGTTGGCTGCTTTGACCATACTAACGTTTAACGATGCTATTCAGAAAATTTGATAACCAGCAAGCAAGATGTTCTCTAGACCAGTCGGATCAGAAAGTACCTCTATTATTCTGTCCCACTGAGTAATGCTCTTCAAGGAATATGAAAAAGATTCTATGTGTGAGAGAGATAGAAAATAGTCGGGATTCTATGCTCGTTGTTCAGATTATCGATGAAGTAGTACATGATAGATGTTCGGGTTAGATAAAAGTGGGATGAACTGTAAGCCAAATGGGGATGTACAGGACGGGTTTAACCAGGATAAGCGCGCAAATCGATAGATTTCGTCGGGCGCTATCGACACCATTTTCGAAGGCGCAATCTGGGGATGGTTGGCGGCATCCGGTTTCGGATTTGCCCATCACAATCTGGGGATGACCATACTTCTAACTTACTAACTGCATTTTAAACGCTCAAACGCCCACTAATACCAGGCACAACGTCATGCAGCCAACAGCGTGTCCTGACGTCTCTCAGAAGATTGCTGCAGTACTTAGAATGTTGAATTATCAGGAATTTAAACCTGCTTTTTTGGTGGGTTTCGGAATCCTAACTCGTTTTTGTTACCTATCGAGTATCTGGTGTTCAGAAACATGTGACACCATTATCAGCACTGGAGATATGGGAGTTTGGGATTCTGAAGAGAAAGTAGATTTGCAGCCCCATCCCCAGGAGCAAAACGGTCAAGTAAACGTTCAACACAACGCTAATAAGGGAAGTGTGGCTTTATCACCTCAAGAGAAGCTGAACTGACTTTCACAGATTCGACGGGACCAATAAACAGCATTCCATACGCTGTACAGCCTGTCCTAACACTCCGGTCAATCTACTCTGTTAATGAGTGGCAAAGGGTAGTTACTTCGGGTGTGAGTTAAAGAGGACTAACTTGCCAACTGTCCAATAGTAGATGTTGGTCTATCTCAAAATGGCTCACCCGGTCACGTGGGTGTAATAAGCTCGTATTCATGCATATGAGTACATGTGTACGTAACAGTGTCCTCCATCTTGAAAACGTTGAATCATGCGCTGATGGCAAGTTCACCGATCGATACAAATGGATGGTTGGAATGGGGAAAGGAGTGAAAGATGGAAACAGCTGTGCCTCATAACACGGCTACTCTGCTAGAATTGTGGTGGCGCTTTGACAGGCATAACTGGCCTGCGCAAGGAGTGTGCAATACGTGCATAGTGTTATCCCAAGTAGTGAAAAGTGGGTTATTGACAACGATTGTGCAGACTGAAGGTTAACGATCAAAAACGTTCAAAAGTTCAAACGGTCAAAAGCATAATAGGCATTCCTTAAAATTGGGCCTTGCAAATATGCAATGTGATGTTTTGAGAAGCCATGAAGAAAAAATTACTCGCTGCCGCATAGCCTATTCTCCCATCGCAGTATTGATCACCGTTGCAGGAAACAGGTGTAGTAACTTTACCCAATTTGTTTCAAACGGGACCATGAGCGTTCATTCCAATATATTCACTGATGTGGCCATATTCTACTATTAGGAAACTGAGAAACTGCATTTCTAGACAATATGTAATCCACGAGGATACGGAATCGGGTATTGCAAAAAGCACGAAGCTCATTGACTTGAAAAAATGAATGACAAAACGTGGGACCACTGCACACGCATGTGGGTTCTCATGTATGCTGTGCACCACAAACCCGTTATCCCTGCGATAACGTTTTTACACATTATGCTGCAGACGCACCTTTGGCTCAAATCGGGTGACCGGGCAGGTCATGCCTTTGGATTTCTGCGACCGATCCACCGGTGACCTAGCACCTCCATAAGATAATGCCGCACTGTTTGTGCATAATGCGCATGTGCGCCATATTGAATGTATAAAAGCAGAAGCGAAGTGTCGAAGTTGCCAACGATAACCGGTGGTGAAAAAATCTATATTTTACTTCCAAGATAATTTGTCTGTCTGGGCGATGGATCACGTGTATATACCGCTGTCACCAAGTTAGCATTAATCCGAATCGTGTCACGTGCCTGTTAATCAGCGAGTACTTATTTTTCGTCTGTTTGGTGAGTGCGGTTGAGAAATTTGAGAAAACTGGGAGCATTTGCGACGCCAAATTGACAGGGTTGCCTCACATTACCACGGATGAATTTTCTGCTTGTATAGTTATTCGTGAGGTATCCAGAAGCTGCGATATGAGAATCCGTAAACTCGCGTAGCATTGCGCCATTACCAAATAAGCTGTCCATAGGATTTTAAGGGGAAAGAAAATTCCGGAAGTATAGCGCTCCTCAAGTGAAGCTTTTAAACCCATGTGATTCGAAGAAGCGGCTTGATCTTGCCGCAGGTTTTTGAATGTCATGGATACACATGCAAATCCTTTTACCGATGAGGCTGTTTTTCCTTTGCACGGTGCGGAGAAGCAACAATTTTGGGCCACTTTTAATCCGCGCCGATTCAGAGCTTTACGTATACATGTTGCAATGTTCACGGTATGGATCAGGCTAACTGGCCAAAGAATCGTGGGACTAGTTTTGTTTTCCGGTAATGCGACCGGTAGGTCGTTGTTTCGCAGTACCAATGCCTTGCGCTTTCTATTATCCTCGTACAAGAAAATACCACAAACTTGTATCATTCTGGAAGTAGAAGCCGCTGGGTTATTTATTACCGTTTGTTTGCATCAAGGTGGCGCACATTTATTCTAGGCACAAACAGAGCAAGCTTTTCTCAACCAGACCTTCGTTTGTCATTGCAGCGGGCGGCGAGGGCTTTTAGAGTGACCTGCTGGGTCACCAGATTTGAACTCATTGGATTACTTCCTCTGGGGTTACTCGAAACAGCGGGTTTACAAAAAGAAGCCGAACTCTCTTGAGGAATTGAAGCAGAGCGTTTTGCACGAATGTCACAATCACAGTTAGTACTTTGGAGAAAGTGCTGGCAAACGCCATCAGGTGAATGTCGCGCTGCATGCAGAAGGCCAGAGGGTGCTTCGAACCTCAACTTTGCTGACAAATCTGAGCATTACTTTGATAATATGTAAGTGTGTACATCATGCAATAATTTAGCGACTAAATTCGTGCGCTGGCTAAAGCTCTCCTTTTCTTAGTAACCTCAGTTGACAGTTTCTTCTAGGGTTCTGCGTGCGCGTGTCGTGGTATAAGAACTCGAGATATCCGTTCTCCCGTACGTCGCCCCCAACTCGAAACCTTGTTCCTGTTATAGCGGAGGTAAGAATATTCCACCGCTCTCCGACAGCATGATACGCCGTCAAACATAGCGACGACTCAGTAAACGGATGTGTTGCATCATTTCGCATTCCACTTGCATAAGTTCACAGGCCTGCTATCCTCTGGGCCGTCCAATGACCTCGGTCAGTCCGCCCACGTATGCTGCGGCAGTATCCCCTACCCACAAATCACCCACGAGAGTGAAAGGTAGTCGTGACAATACGGCAGTGAACTATGCATACGGGGTATGGTTGTACAAGATGCATGTATCAGAAGCACAGGGAACCCCGCTGCGTCATGTATACATATTGATAATTAACGCGGGTACAGAAAGAAAACACACGTGTAACCGCATACCACATAAACCATGCAGTTTGACATGGTAGCCCATACGTGTAGGCCGGCCACATTATATGAGCTAAACAGACAGAAGGCGAAACAGCAACAGCCACGTATTTATGATCTATCGTTTTCTCCTATACGTATGCAACAGGCATAGTTATCTGGTTAGAACCCAGTTGAAAGCAGACGCATTTGTGCAAATGGTCACCCACTTGAAAGCGCTTGTCGTCATTGCCTAAACCAATGGCGACATAGATATGTAGTTTTGATGATGGAATGCAGTGGTTGTACAGACCTCGCAAATTTTTGTAACCTACTCAAGTGACATGTGCTGTATCGTCCATCTTCCTGTGTACTGATAGGACTTTATGCGACATTTTACCAACTATGCTCATATTACCAGAGGTAGCATTAGAGTAAAAGGTATCATATAAACTAAAAGCCAGTTGGCGACGTACGTAAAAGTACCTAAAGGCATAATCCCCTTCTGAATACGCCTCTGAGGTGGGAGCCTGCATTTGCAATTTTAAACAACACCGCATTAGCTTTGAAAAAATGTTAACTGGG